ACAAATCCCAAAACAAGTGCAAAAATTAACCGCGACGATAACCTCGTGAAATTACAATCCCAAAACGCAAAATAAATGATTGCGACGATTACTCACATGATTACAACTGAAAAATGACAATACGAGCAAATGGAATATTAACAAACCGAAATAATTAAGAATTAATGATGGTTAAACGGTAACTGAAACGGCTAGATCAAAAGCTATGATTTTGTATTTAACAGGAAGAACCACTTTAATTTTCATGCTTTGATCAAAGGAAAAAAATGTTTTAATTTTATTAAAGAAAATTATTTTAATTAAGGTCTTAAAAAAAGTTTGTTTTATTTTTATGTTTTAATTAGAAAAAATATTTTAAATTTAAAAAACTTTGGTTTTAAGGTTTAATTGAGAAAATTAGTTTTAATTTTAATATTAAGTTAAGGAGAGAAAGTTTTTTTTTTTGTTTTAATGTTTGATTAAAGAAAAACCTAATTTTAATATTAAATTAAGACAAGAAATGAAATTAATTTAAATGTTCAATTAAGAAAATGATTTTGGTGATTTTGACTAAACTTTTGATAAAATTAATAAATTAGTTTTTTTTTTGAAATCCTTAATAATCCACTTAAATATTATTACATTAAAAATAAAATAAGCAAATGAATAAAAGAAAGAAAAAAAAATCAAAAAAATAAAATAAAAGGTCAAGACATAAAAACCAACGGATCCATTGGCCCATTAGGATTCTGTCTCGTTTTTCTCTCTTCTTCTTCCCTACCCTCATACCGCCGCAACCATTGTTATGCTCTCGGAGCTTCTCCTCCCTCTCGTTTTCGATTGCATGTTTGGTATCCTCCTTCTTCTTCCTCGCATGTACCTGAAAACAAACCCAAAATGAGTTATTGAAACACCAACCTTACCGATGGCAGACGTTCTCGCAACGATGATGGAGACGACGATTTTTGGCCGGTGATGAGATCTATGAGGTCGGTGGTCGGTTGCCCGTTGGTAGTAACGGCGTTTAGTTGTTGCTCACGCGGCCGCCGTCTGTGATTTTCTGACCGTGTTGGCTTCGATGGATCTTCTGCTTCTTTCAAACGAGTGATGATGATGAAATCCTATCGGATTTCTCTGAACCCAGCTTGATTGCGCCGCCGCTTTTCTTCTTAGGGTTTTGGATCCCCCTTCTGAACTTTCTGAGATGACCTTATATGTTTGATTTATTTTTGGGCCAGATTTTCTTCTAACTTATGTTGAGATTTTCATGGAACAAAAGTGGCTTTCCTTTGCTGGCATGCGGTAATCGTGGCATTTTTAGTTGTTGCGTGAATGTTATGAACTGGAAGCTTGTTGTGGATTTTTCCGGAAAAATTGTCCCTGATTGTTCGCTTGAACTTGTTGACTGGATTCGTTGGATTTTTCAGAAACTCTAGAAAGTTGTTAGGCTGTGTTTGGAGAAATCACTTTTGAAAATAAGTGCTTTTCCAAAAAGCACTTTTTTGGATAAGCACTTTTTCCAAACCAGCTTTTCTCTAAAGCACTTTTTATTTCTCTCTCTCTAGTTACCTTAAGAACAGAAGCTGCCTGAACCTAGCCGAAGTTACGAAATAAGTCGAGAGCTGGTTTCGGAGTAATCTGTTACCCTCCCGACACACGATGATGACAATGCTCTAAGGGTGTCAGATAAACTAACCGATTAAATTTTGTTCTTTATCTTTGCAGGTTCGGAGACATCGGAAGCTCGGGAAAAGTTGAAGAAATCAGAGACATTTAGGAATTTAGGAATTTTTTATTTTTTTTATTTTTTTATAGAAATTTTTATGTAATCATGAAAAAAATGTAAATTGATTTTAGTTATAAATGAAAAATGAAAAATTATTATTATGAAATGTATGTTTTTATTATTACCTTTCCTTTTTCTTAAAATGAAATGAAAACCATAAAGAATGAAATGATAGTCAATAAAATAAAATCATTTAAAAATAAAAATAAGAACAAATATATGAAAAATGAAGTGGAAACAAATATTTAGAATAAAACAAAATTATTTAAAAAATGCAATGATGATAAAAATTGAAATAAAATAATTGATTTAAACTAAAAGGAAAATGACATCAAGAAATGAAATGAAATTAATTTAAAATGAAATGAAAATAATATGACATACCATTGATGAAATGAAAATGAAATAAAATCCCATTTTTTTTTATTAATTCCTAATTCCTCCAATTTATCCGACTAAACCCGTCTCCGACATAACTTCGACTAAACTTTTCGGCAACTCAAAGGAAACCTTATCCGAACAAATCTAAATCGTCTGATTAAACTCAAATGATCATACTCCCCCGACTAACTTCATCCAGATAAATTGAACTGATTTAAACCACCCGGCTCAAATCCTCCACGATTAAACTCTTCCTATTAACCCCTCAGTCTCATAAATTGTCAGTAGGCTGCAACTAAATGACCATTTTGCCTTTCATAAGTTAAAGAGCGCACAATGTGACTTTCTCTACAAAACCAAACAGACTGAGCAAACTGGTTAGCCGTTAGATAAAATGCAGTGCAGAATGATATGAAAATGCGAAATGAACCTACTAATCTCGGGGCAAAATTTGGGGATATTACAACCAGTCTACCAAATATTTGTCATCTAATTCAGAAGGCATCAATAGCACAGGTACATCATCAGACTCTCCTCTGGTTGACCAACAATCAGCAACAAAGTGGTCAAACTTCTTACAACAGTAACATTAAACCTTCTTCTTGTCAAACTTATCTTTTCCCTTCTAATGGTTATTCTCATCAAAGTTGGAGGTTTCTGACTTATGATAACCACCATTGTCTCCCTTCCTGACCTCTTTCCATGATTACTTCTGATTCTTCTTACTAAAAGACATTTTCAGAGCCTGCTCTACCTCTCTTTAAGAGTTTCTCTTAGTCAGATGCGGCTCTTATACCTCTAGACTACTCTACAACTCTTCAATTCTCATGGTGTTGAGGTCCTTAGAATGTTAAATTGCTACAACAATGTAATCAAACTGAGGAGTAAGTGATTTCAATACCTTTACAATAATTACTTATTTAGAGAGAGTTTCTCTACAAGATTTCATCTCATTTGTGATCAGAATCACTCTAGAGATGTAATCAGGTAGTTTCTCATTGTTCTTCATGTTGAGATTCTCATCCTACTTACATAGAGATTGAAGCTTCACCTTCTTCACTGATGCATCACCATCATACCACCGTACCAGTGTGTCCCACAAAGCTTTTTCCATTTTTGGATCAACTATATTCTCAAACACATTCATATCCACACGCTGATGAACATAAAACAACGCCTTATGATCCTTCTTCCTCGTTTCTTTATGCGTGTTTCTTTGTGCTTCAGTTGCATCTGTTGCAACCGGCATGTAATTGTCATTAACGAGATCAAAAACATCTTGAGCGGCAAACAAGACACGCATCTGAATCATTCATCGATTCTAATTCTTTCCATCAAAGACTGGAAGCTTTATGTTCAAGCTACCATTTTCGTCGTTCATCTTCGTTCTTGTGCAAATTCACTCATTAACTCACCAACACTCATGTTTCCCAATCCATTAGAATCAATAAGTGTGGCTCTGTTTCGATTTAGATTTTCAATTCACTGTGAATTAAATGAGTAGAATCAATCACACACGCCTCACGTACACTCGTGTTTCCCGTTCCTGAATTTGAACTGAAACTCTAAATACCAATTATTGGTGGACAAAGTTGAAGATGAAGAAGATGAAAAGAGAGAGAAAATTTATAACTAACTTTTAATACAAAAGATTACAATCAAATTCTATTACAATTGAGATTCTGTTAAATATTTAAACTATCAGAGTCTCTAAATAAAATTTAAATGCAAACCAAATTAAATGCAAATGAACCTAAATCTGAATTACAACTAACAAGTTTGACCCAAACAAAAATTTGATAGGGAATCTATTCTCTTTAGGGGTGGCAAATGGGAAGGCACACTCTGTTTAGGGGTGTCCTACAAAACTCACAAGAAAACAAGTGGAACAAACATAGTTGAGGGGGCAAGACCCATTTTGCCACCCCAAATTTTCGTAATGTGTCGACATGTTAACTTCACCAACAAATTAATATTTAGTAGTTGTAAATATATTTTGATGGTTTTATTAAAATACAAAACAATTGAACTTTCAAAAGCTTAATGTATTTAGTTTGTAAGTATAGTTTTTATTTTGAAAAATAACTATTAAATTAGTATAATTTATCTAAACAAGACACAATTTACATTAAAAAACACGATAACAATTAATGTAAGTCTTGTCATACAACTTATAATACTAATCTTTCATCAATTCCAACAAAATTTGTGTTTAAATTAAATATAAATACGAAAGCTAATTAAGATTATGTACTTAATACTCATTCCATTTTAAAATGATTGTAGTTTTAGTAAATTAAATTTATTTTAAAATAAATATTATTTTCATTTTTTAATGTAAAAATAACCGTTCTTTTTTCAATTGTGTCATTTAATTATTTTTTTTATATATTATTTTTAATATATTTGTAAAATTAATTTAGTAAAATTTTAATATTTTATGACAATATTATTATATCTCTTAATATGTATGTTAAAACTTTAAATGATAGTAATTTTTAAACGGACCAAGTAATATTTTTCGACTTTCACATATCATAATCATAATTTAATGCTAATATATGCTATAAAGGCACAAGTTAAAAGTTTAATGTAGATTTTTTTTTATAGAAATTGTGCATTATTTTAGTTAAAAGTTGATAATTAAGTTTTTTTATTGTTTTTTCTAATAAAAAACTTTCATTTTTAAGTGTTTTAACATGGGCTCAAGGGCGCATATTTGCATTACCCTTTTAATATTAGGAAGATATAATATAAATTATGATTTTGATATTATATATTTTTATTGTCAATTTATATTACAATCTTTATTAAGGATGAATAACTGTTTTATTGAATAAAGTTGTTAATATATTCATATATTGCAATTTCGTCCTCCTGGCCCGCCATAAAGAAAAGCTTGTCGATATACAGATCCTTCATAACCACGATATGCCAAATCATAACAATTTGAATTACTATTTGTATACTTCTTCATATCTTCGGGTTTAATGTCACGTTCATTATATTCCGAATCAATAATCTCTAGTAATCCCATGAATCCTGAGTTTTTTAGTTTTTCTTTAGGTAGTCTCCCACTACCCATGGGAGGATTATCCTTATTAGGCGGGGCATATGTTTGACCACCAAACCTTATTAAAGATGCTCCTTTTCTTAAGTGAGTGAATAATTCTTTTGGCCAATATCCTGTATAGATTGCTTCATCTTGAATAATTAACCACCAATGACCGGTAGATCGGTCCTATATATATTTCAGCCATTAACATAATATTAGTCAAGTTACTAGTAAATCATATTAATCAATCATAGTAATATTATTTAAAAAACATTAAATCATAATGAAATTGTAAACATTTTTGGTTTTCTATTTTATTAATTTTGTTTTATCAATATTGTCTTCAATTAATTTAATTATCAATTTAATAAAATAAAAAGTCAAAGAAATATTAAAATTAATTAAGAATAAAAAATTATTTTAAAAAGTCGTAATCTTGATTTAATAATTTGTAAAAAAGTTATTTAAATATATTTTTAATACATTTATAGTGAAATTTTTACCTGTTTAATTTTGATAAGACCATATACTTTTGTTGTTGATCCAATTGAACTAACAGGATGTATAACAGATCCAAGAGCATATTCTTTATTATGATTAACTTGCACAAAACCCGAGCAAAGAGTATTGTAACATCCAGTTTTTTTGAAAGCATCTGCCTGCATGTTTATATCAAAGTGAGCTTAACATAATCAAATTATGTATTTTTATCATATTATTTTTTAAAAATTCGTTAATGTATTCAATCTACATTCTTACCGTCCAATGACCTGTTAATCGTACTTGATTGTCTCCGTATAAATGAGGATGAACCTTAAACATCAAAAATTAAATGTGAGAGTTTTCTTATTCAATATAATACACACAAAAATATGAACTCATCAAATAAAATTGAGAAATAAACTATTTCCCTTTCTCAAAATGTATTGTGATATATATTAAGAAAAGAATAAAACTTAATAAAAATAACTCACCCCGAGTCCGACTTTTATGCTATTAAGTTCCATTGAGGGTCCACTTTCTAGCCATATAGAAGATAAACTGAATTGATTTGCTTGAAGCGATAAATTATATGCACCTATACCTGCGGATGCTCCGCGAAATATCACGTTTTGGGTTGTGTCAAGAGTTACCGTCTAAAGAATACAAAATATAAATAATTATATTGAACTGACATTTCAAATGTTTATAATATTAATACATATCTATTCAATCAAAGTACTGGTATTGACTTAAAATAATCACTTACATGATAGCTCCCAGAGTTTTTAGAATATTGCTTAATATTGTCTGTATGTAACCTTGAAGATGAACTAGTAATAGTTTCATGTATTTGTGTCTTGTTGTAAATAGGTACTTTTCCTGGTGAGCATGCATCCATAGTTTTACCAAAAGATGCTCTACTTTGCGTGATGTTCTTTGCAAAGGTTGGGTAAAGCTGAATAAAAAATAAAATAAATGTTTATTAATCATATGTTCAAAATTATACGTCAATTAATATTTCATTAAATGACAAATATATTTCACATGGGTCATAGTAACGAATATCTCAAGAAATTATTTTAAGATTTTTAAATAAATAAATTATTCTTTAAAATTATCAATTATTTTCATTTTGTAATATATTGAATACAAGTATTTTTTTAAAAAACATATATTTTTATTCTTTAAAAACCTCAATTATTTTAATTTCTAATTTATTAGATATAAGTATTTTTTTTTTAACTCTTAAAGAATATCTCAAAACATTAGTAAACATTTACGTTAATCTTAATACAACTATTATACCTGAATTTTGTGATTTTTTAGTAAAGGGTGTTGTAGAGCTGGTTGCTTGTAGATATCCACACAGTCAAAATCATTGTTCACTTGATGCTGAATTTGCAAAACCAAAATAATAATCAAATTAATTATTTATACAAGAAAAAGTTAAGAAGTAACAATAGATCACATACCATGGAACTACCAGATAGAGTAAAATTAATTTCTCCATTTAGTAAAGTCTTGTTTCTGGCCTCAACATTGCAACATGTTATACATAAAGTAAGAGCTAGAAAGACAGTTAGATCCATCAGATTTTCAAAGTTACTTTCACTAATATGTAATACTTGTACACGTATGTATACTCACATATATATACTACAAATTAGAAGATATTAAAAAATAATATTAAAGAGAAAAGATTAAAAATATTATTATTTTTATTGTTGGTCAAGCAATATCCATTAAACACTCTAAAAAGATATTGCTGAGATTTAATGAGAGAGAGAAAAAGTAGGTTGATTTTAAATTTTTGTATCTCTGGTTCTTTTTATTCGGAAATTTAAATATTAAATTCATCAAATACTTTATATATATATATATATATATATATATATATATATATATATATATATATATATATATATATATATATATATATATATATATATATATATATATATATATATATATATATATATATATATATATATATATATATATATATATATATATATATATATATATATTCTAGATACATTAGTCTTTTAATGAATTAAAAAATAAAAAGTTTTTATTAAAAAAATATTTTTATTTAATACACTTAATTAAGACTATTTTCTTTACATTGTATATACTCCTTTGTGTTTGAAGAAAATTCCAAATATACACGTTATTTACAATTTTTTTATTAATAGTAGTAGTAAGGAAAATAATTATCGGAGTTAAAATATAATAAAAAAGAGAAAATTTATAAAAAATATTATTCCTTTTATTTTTTATTATAAGTCGTTTTTTTTACTTTTTACACAAATTAAAAAATATAATAATTATGAAATAAAAATTAAAAATTACAAAGAATTTTATAAAATTATCTTTCATTAATGATATTGGAAAGACAAATTTACATAATTAAAATGAGAGAGAATAATAAATATTAAAAAATATAATAAAAAAAATAACATTAATGTTTTATTAGTATTATAAAGCGATTTATATTATCACACAAAAATATTTTTTCAAAATTACTTATAATAAAAAACATTATAATAGTAAATATTTCACTAATATTTTAAATATATAATAAATAACAAAACAATTATTATGATACAGGAGTATCTTTCAATTTGCCGCATTCATTAAATTTCGTCAAAGAATACTAATGAGATTTAATAAAAAAAATAAGTTAGATTTATTTTGAATGATAAATAAAAAAGATAAAACTACTTTATTTTAATACTTTTAAGATTATTCTCATAAAAAAATATATTATTAAAAGCATTTAAAAAATTGACTATTTTTTTCTTTAAATATTCACTCATATATTGTTATTCAATATGCATGTATCTATTGAATACACTCAAACAAAAACACTTATTCCCTTTGAATCATATTAGGTGTTTTTTTTTTAGATTTTCACATTTTAAAAATAATAATTAATTGTGTTAATTTTAATAATAAAATGAAAATTATTTATTAAAATAAATTTATTAATAATAAATTATAGAATAGTTATATAAATTAAAATATAATAGATAAAATAAACTAGTAAAAATAAATGATAAATATTATATTAATATTTTTAAAAACTAAATAATTTAAACCAAATTAAAAAATACACATGCTAAGACACAGGGGGAGTATAAGATCTAATAAGGAAAAAAAAGCTATGTTAATTTAAAACAACAAATGAAAGAAAAAAAAACTTTAATTTAATGCATTTAAGGTGATTAAATGCATTTAGAAACTTTGACGCTCTTCTTTCTATATATTTTATCCATCTATGTGTCGATGTCTTTAATATATAGTTTCAAAATTTTGATGGTCTTATCTACCAAAATAATTTTTAAAATATATTTTTCAAAAAACTTTATTTAAATTTATATATAATAATGAACCATGAAATGTTATTATTAACTATTAATCAATCAATTAGAGATAAAAGTTATTGAATAAGTGGAAACTTATTGGAATCGACCAAAATTCCTAAAAATGGGTGAATAAATATTATTTTTTAAATTGTAGGTGGGTTAAATGTTTGTTTATATATATATATATATATATATATATATATATATATATATATATATATATATATATATATATATATATATATATATATATATATATATATATATATATATATATATATATATATATATATATATATATATATATGCTTTGATCAAAACTTTTTAACAATTTTTTTAAAAATATGTGAGTTCTGTTTGTTTTATTAATAGTAGTAAATAAAATAATTATGAGAGTTGAAATATAATAAAAATTAGAAAACTTATAAAAATTATTAATAAATATTTCACTGATATTTTGAATATAATAATAAAACAATTATTAATATAGAAGTATCTTCCAATTTGCCACATTCATTAAATTTCGTCAAAGAATACTTATGAGATTTAATAAAAAAAAGTTAGATTTATTTTGGATGACAAATAAAAAAGATAAAAATTACTTTATTTTAATACTTTCAAGATTATTTTCATAAAAAAATATTTTTTAAAAGCATTTAAAAGATTGACTATTTTTTTTCTTTGAATATTCACTCATATATTGTTATTCAACATTAGGAGTGAAAATAAGACAGACCAACTAACAGAGATCTATGGCCTATTTTACATAGGCTCAGGTTAGGCCAGATTTTTTTTTAAATAGAAAAAATTTAGACTTTTTTATAAGTCTATTTAACTAAAGAAGCTAGATCACATGCTGTAAAAAAAGTCTTTTAAGTCTATCAGGCCGATTTATTTATAAAATATTCAATAAATTTATTATTATTATAATGTATTTTGTATTTTAAATTAAAATACGAAAATAAAACTTAGTTATTTTGAACAACTTATGAAAATAAGTTGAAAAAATATTATAAACAATGTCATAAGTTTTTGTCATAATTTTTTTTCCATAAGTTATCTCCAACAAATATTATCACCAAACTTATACTAATAGATAAACTTGAATGAGACAATGAAAACAAACATTTAGTCTCAATGATCTTTTAATTTGTTAGTTTATTTAATATTAGTTAAATTTCTTATTTACAAACATTCAAATGAAATATACTTTTAAATAATCTAATAGGTCAATCAGACATTCGAAAATGTCAGACTTAAGCCTATGATAGGCTACGGATCAATCTTAGGCTTTAAATTTTTTAGCATGTGAGCCTCGGGTTTAACAAAGCCTAATTCGGTCCGACCTATTTTTATCCCTCGATCCCTTTGACTAATATTAAGTGTTTTTTCAGATTTTCACATTTTTAAAATAATAATTAATTATATTAATTTTAATGATAAAACAAAAATTATTTATTAAAATAATATTATTAATAAAAAGTGTAGAATAGTTAAATAAATTAAAATATAAATAATAAGAGTAAACTAATAAAAATAAATAATAAATATTATATTAATATTTTAAGAAAATAAATAATTTAAAATAAATTAAAAAAGAACACCTGCTAAGACACCGGAGGAGTATAATTTATTTTAAACAAAGCTTTAGTTTATTTTAAATAAGGAAAAAAAGCTATGTTCATTTTAAATAAGGAAAAAAAGTAAATTTATTATTTATTTTAAATTAAATATAACAAATGTAACAAAAAGAACACCTGCTAATTTACTTTTTTTTACTTTTATTTATTAATAAGGAAAAAAAGCTATGTTCATTTTAAACAACAAATGTAAAAAAAAGTAAATAAATAAATAAAACTTTAGTTTAATGCATTTAGAAACTTTGACCCTCTTCTTTCTATATATTTTATTCATCTATACGTTGATGTCTTTAAGGAAATTTTACCCCATACCCCTATAATTATACCCATATTTCTACATTAATATTTTTTGGACCAAAATACTTTCAGTATAAAAGTTTATAATTTTTTTCATTGGTTTATCGGAAGACTTTTTGCAAGTATTCCCGTTCATATTTTTTCTTTTATTTACCGGAAGACTTTTTGGAAGTCTGCAGGTTCACTTTTTTTTTTCATCGGAAGATTTTTTGCAAGTCTTCTGGTTCATATTTTTTTTATTTTTTTACCGGAAGACTTTTTAAAAATCTTCCGGTTCATATTTTTTTATAATTATAGGGATATGAGGTAATATATAGTTTCAAATTTTGATATTTTAATTTACAAAAATATTTTTTAAAATATATTTTCTAAAAACTTTATTGAAATTTAAATACAAGAATGAACCATGAAATGTTATTATTATTAGTCAATTGATTAGGGATAAAGGTTATCGAACAAGTGGAAAAGAATTAGAAACGACCAAAATTCGTAAAAACAGGTGAATCAATACTTTAAGATAATTTTTGTAATAATATATATATATATATATATATATATATATATATATATATATATATATATATATATATATATATATATATATATATATATATATATATATATATATATATATATATATATATATATATATATATATATATATATATATATATATATATATATATATATATATATATATATATATGGAGCATATCAAATGATAACAATTACAATAAATTCAAAAAATAATAAATAAAGACTAATTAAGAACGCATAAGTTCAAAAAATAAAATAAATAAAGATTAATTACAATAAAAATAATAACGAAATAAACTCAAGCCCAATAAAATACATATCAAAATAAATAAATAAACAATACATATTATCCTAATTCTATTTAAATATTAACTACTAAAAAAACCTAATTAAGAATTTATAAAAGACAAACAATGATAACAATTACATTGCATAAAACATCACAGTGTATAAAATAGTAGAGCATAAAATATCAACATCTGACTTTCTCACTATTTACATCATATAGATTCTTATATTGACTGATTTATTAATAGTTAAATCCTAAATTTGATATTAATGAAATACTTCATTTTCTTCAAATCAACATTTATTTCTAAATAAAATATGTGAGTTAATGTTTGACAACTTAATAATTCAGTAAAACATATAATTGTTCTTTTATTTTAAATTTTTCAAATCACCGCATGTATTAGAAAGTTATAGAAAGAACGTTACAATTATAATTAATTTTGTATGTATAATATT